AAATGCCTTCCCCCCCTCCCCCCCCCCGGGGTCACTCCAGTGAGTCAGGACTTTATTAAAGAGTTTCTGTTGTGCTGCTGGCTTTTTTCAGGGCTGTCCTGCCCAGTGAGGAGGCAGCCTACTGTCTGCCTACAGAGGCTTTGCTGAGCTGCTGTGGGCTTCACCCAGCTGCCATGTGAACTTCCCTGCAGTCCTGTTTATACAGGTGTAGTTAGAACTGCCTTGGCAATGGCGGCCCACTTCTGTAATGGCGGACTCTCTCTGTAATGGCAGGCTGCCTCAGCAATGGCAAACCACCTCCGTAGTGGTGGACGGCCTTGGTAATGGCAGACGCCCCTCCCCCACAGAGCTGGACTGTCCTGGGTTCAGCTGTGCTTGCTGTGAAACTCTCAATCCAGAGCATTTCATATTGCTATTTTTTTGTGGGGGTGGGACCAGCTGAGCCTGATCACCTGGCTCCCTGCCTCAGAGCCCCCTTTCTTCTTCTTTTTTTAGTTGAACAGTCAACTCTCTCCCAGGTGTTCCAGTCGCCTATGGAAAAGGCACCAGGATCTGTGTGATTTCCCATGTGGTGACCCACTGCACTGGCTGAAACAGCTGTGCTGAGATTTGTGGCGCTTTTTTGCCCAGGAATCTCCTGGCCTGGCTCCCTGTTTCAGGCCTCTTTTTATTCAGATGAATGGGTGACTCTGCCTTCCTGGAGCTCCAATTGCCAGCTAAAATGGCTCCTGGACCCGTGTATTTTGTATGGAGAACTGCTGTGCCAGGGCGCCAGCCCAAACAGCCAAGCCCAGGAAAACAGCTGCAACTGACCAAAACAGCCTTGGAGGCTGAACCAGCCATGCTGGTGACCCGTGGGTCTCTACCACCTGGGAATCTCCTGGTCTGTGGGCAATAAAAGTCTCTCTGGAAATGTGGCGTCCACTCACCCTCTGCACTTTCACTGGGAGCTGCAATCCTGAGCTGCTCCTAATTGGCCATCTTGGATCAGTTGTCAGAACGTCTTTAACTTGAGTGAAATCTTAAATTTTTCTGGAGGAAAAATAAACAAGTATACGTAATTTAAAAAATAATAATTTCATAAAGGGAGAGGAAGGGTGCTTTCCCTACCCTATCAGATATTAGAATACTGCCATGGTTTCAATGTTTGTCCCCTCTAAAAGTTAATCATGAATGTGGCAGCATTGAGAAGTAGGGACACACAAGAACAGAAAACCAAACACTGCATGTTCTCACTCCTAAGTGGGTGTTGAACAAAAAGAACACATGGACACAGGGAGGGGAACATCACACACTGGGGCCTGTCAGGGAGTGGGGAGCTAAGGAAGGGATAGCAGGGGGTAGGGGAATAGGGGAGGGATATCATTAGGAGAAATACCTAATGTAAATGATGGGGTGAGGATGCAGCAAATCACCAGGGCACATGTATTCCTATGAAACAAACCTGCACTTTCTGCACATGTACCCCAGAATTTAAAGTATAATAATAATATTAAAAAAGGGGATTGGGTTAAGACAGCTTCATTCTCATAAATGAATTAATCTATTCATAGATAGATTAATAAGTCAGTGGGTTAATGGATTAATAAGTTATCATAGCAAGGGGACTCGTGGCTTTATGAAAGGAAGTAAGACCTGAGCTAGCAGCCCCCTCACTATGTCATACCTCTTGCTGCCTTGGGAATCTGCAGTGTCCCACAGCAAGAAGGCCCTCACCAATTGCAGCCCCTCCCACTTTACTCCTCAGCCTCTATAACTGTAAGAAAGAAATTCCCTTTCTTTATAAATTTCAAAGTTGCAGGTATTCTGTTATAAGCAACAAAAAATAAACTAAGACATGCATATTATTATAACCTCAATAAATAAAAGAGTATATTAATGTAAGAATTGACAATAAAAATAAATAGACACATATGACATTGACTAACGATCACTAATATTTGAGAACTCAGAATGTGGATGAACTTGGAGGACAGTGTTGAGCAAAGTAACTTAGGCACATAAAGATAAATGCTCTGTTTTCTCATTCATACATGGAAGCTAAAAAATATGATCTCATACCAGTAGAGCATATAGTAGTGGTTACTAGAGGAAGGGAAGGATGTGGGGATGGACTATGTAGTAAGAGGTTGGTTAATACAAAAGTCCAGCTAGACAGGAAGAATAGGTTAAGCATTCTATTGCACAATAGGCTGACTACAGTTAACTTATTGTGTATATTCAAATAGCCATAAGATTATGAATGTTCCCAACACAAAGAAATGATAAATATTTGAAGTGATGAATGTGATCATCACCCTGATGTAATCATTACACGTGGTAAACATGTATCAAAATCTCACACCTTACCCTGTAAATATGTACCATATTGTCAATTAAAAATAATAATAAGAGGCACAGTGGTCAATGCCTGTAATCCCAGTGCTTTGGGTGGCTAAAGCAGGAGGACATTGTCAGCTTAGGAGCTGAAGGCTGCAGTGAGCTATGACTTTTCCCTTTTCATTGTACTACAGCCTGGGGAACAGAGTGAGAACCTGTCTCAAAAAAAAAAAAGATAACTAAAAAAGAAAAGGAAAGTGGATGCAATTGGATAGGCTGCTGGTGGACTGGCAAATTTAATTTCTTGCACTGGACAGTAGGTATCCACAAATATTTGTTGATTTATTTTTTGTAACCCTAAGTGTTTCTGAATTATTTATTTATTATTATTTTTCTACTCCTGGGACAGATTATGAAATGTTAAAAAAAAAAAAAAACCAATGGTTAAAGGGTGATATTTAACAAATTGAAAGAATATGTCCTTTGGAAGAAAAAACAAGTTAGAGTTTTCTTTGCATAGAGATTTCTAGATATTACCAGGATTTGCAATATTCTTCCTCTCTGTGGACATACTATGTTAAATCTCCTGAAACTAATAAGCAACTTCAGCAAAGTCTCTGGATACAAAATCAATGTGCAAAAATCGCAAGCATTCCTATACACCAATAACAGATTTAAAGAGAGCCAAATCAAGAATGAACTGCCATTCACACTTGCTACCAAGAGAAGAAAATACCTGGGAATACAACGAACAAAGAACGTAAAGGACCTCTTCAAGGAGAACTACAAACCACTGCTCAATGAAATAAGAGAGGACAGAAACAGATGGAGAAACATTCCATGTTCATGGTTAGAAAGAATCAACATTGTGAAATTGGCCATGCTGCCCAAAGTAATTTACAGATTCAGTGCTATCCCCATCAAACTTCCAACGACCTTCTTCACAGAACTGGAAAAAACCATCTGAAACTTCATATGGAACCAAAAGAGAGCCCACATAGACAAGTCAATTCTAAGCAAGAACAAAGTGGGAGGCATCACACTACCAGACTTCAAACTATACTACAAGGCTACAGTAATCAAAACAGCATGGTACAGGTACCAAAACAGAGATATAGACCAATGGAACAGAACAGAGGCCTCGAAGGCAACACAACACATCTACAACTATGTGATCTTTGACAAACCTGACAAAAACAAGCAATGGGGAAAGGATTCCCTGTATAATAAATGGTTTTGGGAAAACTAGCTAGCCATGTGCAGAAAGCAGAAACTGGACCCCTTTCTGACACCTTACACTATAATTAACTCCAGATGGATTAAAGACTTAAACATAAGACCTAATACCATAAAAACCCTAGAAGAAAATCTAGGCAAAATCATTCAGGACATAGGCATAGGCAAGGACTTCATGACCAAAACACCAAAAGCATTGGCAACAAAAGCCAAAATAGACAAATGGGACCTAATGAAACTCCACAGCTTCTGCACAGGAAAAGAAACAGTCATGAGAGTGAATTGGCAACCAACAGAATGGGAAAAAATTTTTGCAGTTTACCCATCTGACAAAGGGCTGATATCCAGAATCTACAAAAAACTAAAACAGATTTACAGGAAAAAAACAAACAAGCCCATTCAAAAGTGAGCGAAGGATATGAACAGACACTTCACAAAAGAAGACATACATGAAGCCAACAAACATATGAAAAAATACTCATTATCACTGGTCATTACAGAAATGCAAATCAAAACAACATTGAGATACCATCTCATGCCAGTTAGAATGGCAATCATTAAAAAATCTGGAGATAACAGATGCTGGAGAGGATGTGGAGAGAAACAGGCACACGTTTACACTGTTGGTGGGAGTGTAAATTAGTTCAACCATTGTGGAAGACAGTGTTGTGATTCCTCAAGGACCTAGAAATAGAAATTCCACTTGTCCCAGAAATCCCATTACTGGGTATATATCCAAAGGATTATAAATCGTTCTACTATAAGGACACATGCACACGAATGTTCATTGCAGCACAGTTTACAATAGCAAAGACCTGGAACCAACCGAAATTCCAATCGATGATAGACTGGACAGGGAAAATGTGGCACATGTACACCATGGAATATTATGCAGCTATCAAAAATGACGAGTTCGTGTCCTTTGTAGGGACATGGATGAACCTGGAAATCATCATTTTCGGCAAACTGACACAAGAACAGAAAATCAAACACTGGATGTTCTCACTCATAGGTGGGTGTTGAACAATGAGAACACTTGGATACAGGAGCAGAGCCTCACACACTGAGGTCTGTCAGGGGGATGTAGGGGAGGGACACCAGGGGTTGGGGAGTTGGGGAGAGATAGCATAGGGAGAAATGCCAGATATAGGTGATGGGGAGGAAGGCAGCAAATCACACTGCCATGTGTGTACCTATGCAACATCTTGCATGTTCTTCACATGTACCCCAAAACCTAAAATGCAATTAAAAAAACAGAAAAAGAAAAAACAAATTAGAGTTTTCTTTGCATAGAAATTTCTAGATATTACCACTATTTCCAATATTTTTCCTCTCTGTGGACATACTATGTTTTGCAGGGCTACATGTCACTTTCTAATCAACAAGCTCTGATTAATTAATCAGGAGCCAGTGAATGATTCTCCATGCTCTTTCCTCTGTTGCAGACACCTGTGTCTAGGAAGATGGAGCTCCAAGTTTTGCAGCGGGAACTCATTTGGTAAGACTCTCATCTGATAATGTGAGAGGCAGAATGTATACCCAATGAATGTGTGTCTCTAGTGTGAGAATTCACAAAGCTGATATTAATGTGTGCTGGTCACTATGGGTTGTATTTGATAAGGAATTACAAGGAAAACAGTTCTGAAAAGTATTATCTGTTTGCCAGCAAGAATGAAAGGAAATAGGTCAGATATTTGGGGTCTTGAATGAATTGAAACAGTAATTCGTTTCAAGGCTAAATAGTAAAAGGCAAAATGTTAAAAGACTTTAACATTGAGCCAATTACAAAAACAAATGCCAAAAATAAAATATTATTTAGACTGCACTTTTGCTTATTGAAAGGAATTAATTAGGTAAAATGCCTTAGGGTAAAGATCAAACAAAGGGCCTGAGGCCCGGTAACCTTTTCAATTGGAAAAATAGCTCAGGTAAAAGAGCTTAAGGGTTCCATTCTCACATCAAATCCAGATAGACTCAAGATACCTACCAGGTCGTCAAGCTGTGAAAGGTGTAGGCACAAGAGTGTAAAGAAATACGGATGATGTGGGAAATGTGTTAGGTAAAGAGTCATAGCTGTAATTATTGGCACATGGACTTAATTGGAATTCAATAGATTAGAAAAACCAACAAAGTTTTAAGAGTTGTATTGCTTAAGAAACTGTGAGCCTGCACTAAAGTGTTTGAGCATCTAAAACACGGGTGTCCAATCTTTTGTCCCTGGGCCACATTGGAAGAAGAAGAATTGTCTTGGACCACACATAAAATACACTAATTCTAGCGATAGCTGATGAGCAAAACCAAAAATCAAAAACCAAAGCAAACAAACAAAAAACCACCTCATAATTTTTTAAGAAACTTTATACATTTGTGTTGGGCTGCCTACAAAGCTGCCCTGGGCGGCATGCTAAAACACCTCTCGGGCCCTAGATAGGAAGTAGGTTAAAAAAAAAACACTTCATATTCTGTAAGATCCATTTTATATGAGCCTAAGAAGGAAGAAAGGAAAGGAAAAATGTCTCCCTGAGGGTGGAGGCAGAAGACACAGAGAAAAAGAACCAAGTTGCCTCCAAGAGAGCAGAGTCCAGGCCTAATGAAGGTTGGGGGCTCAAAAAATGTCTGCCTGGAAAAAATTCAGACTTTTTCAGGAACAGGGACTCCTGTTTCCTTTTTCAATTATGAGACGTATAAGTGCCAGATAACTTGTTATTTTAGTTGCTAGGTTTCCAAAGCTATGGGAGCTACCTATAGACTTGACATAGAGAGTACAGTATGCAGTAAACCCTTTGTTTCCAACGATTCGACCAACTGTGGATGGAAAATGTTTTTTTAAAACCCAATAAAAACAATATAACAATAAAAAAATAACATAAATAAAACATATGGTATTAACTATTTACATAGTATTTACATTATATCAGGTGTTTCAAGTCATACAAAGATGATTTAAGTATATAGATGGATATGTATAAGTTATGTGCAAATACTGCATCATTTATATCAGTGATTTGAGCATCTCTGGATTTGATACCTTTGAGGGTCTTGGAACCAAGCCCTCACGGATACAGAGACACAGCTATATCACTCAGAGATTTTGGATTCTGGGCTTTGAGCTCAATGCCACAACTGAGGAAGACCTTGCAGTTATATCTCTTAGAGGAGAAGTTGGAGTTGGTATAACTGTCATACATATCTATGCCAAAGGGAGACTGCACTGAATATTTGGAAAAACAAAAGGGTAAATTGTGGCAGATACTACCAGTCCTTAGCAGTGTTTCCAGTTCTCCTTTTTTCACTCCTGTATTCAGTAGGCTGGGGCTAGGTGACTGGTCTCATAGGCAGACTATGTCTATCAGGAGGCCACGCATGATTTCCTGCCCCAAAGTACATGAGAATTGATGGAGCCATTTCCCACATTCTCCTCTTTCACAGTGAACCCAAAGCTTTGGGATGAGATGGGGATGCCATAAGATTGAAGTACTCTGAAAAACTGAGTGTAAAGGCTTATAACAGGGAAAAGCGCAGTTCAAATTCTTAATTAGCTGTTGTTATTGTGAAGGGCATCTGTCTAAAAGCTTTCAGGACACACATGGACTTTACATGAGCAAGAAAAAAAATGTGTGTTTAGACACTGAGATGCTAGTGTTTTTGATAATATAGCCTGATCTCATAGATACATGCATCTTAGACCATTCTATGCTAAATACATACATTGACACAGACAAACATACATGCCTACATATCAAATGGATTAGTTAAAAGAAAGTACATTTCAACCTTTAAACCAAGAAAATATAAGTAAATCTTTAACATCTCAAGTGAAGACTTTCTACATATAATCTAGTGAAAAACAACACAAGTGAAAAAGTAGACCTGACTACTTGCACATAACACTTTTGCATATCAGAAATATCAACAACTAAATGAAAATTAATGACATGTGGAGAAAACATTTTTTTTGGCAATAGAGGGTTTATAACCTTATATATAAGAAGTTGTTAAAAATGAGTATCTTAAAATATCAGCATCACACATACATACACAAAGACAAAGAATTTAAACATAATTCTTCCAATTTATGAAAGTTGAAATACAGACAGATGCCTTCCCGAGTCATCAGAATTTGAACCAGTGATGAGGAGCACGTTTGCATTCCTGCCCAGTTAACAGTCATAGAAGACTGCCTGAACTGCCCCTGGGGTGCGCATATGCACCCTGAAAATATTTGACATACCAGAGCATACTTGGATGTGTATATACATATTTATGAGAAATGTAAAAATTAATAGTTTTAAATTTTAATGTTTCTATATGTCCAACTTTAAGCACCTAAAATTTAAAATATGGAAATATTATAAATATTTGTGTGAGGCAAGAGGAATATTGTTGTGTCTTTTAGTTATATAAGCCATAGGATCCTAGAGATAACAATGAACATTCCCCAAAGCTCCCATTTAGGAATTTTTTGGTTGATGGCATGACCCTTGAAGGGACTGACTCATAAATAATGATTACTTTTTTTGATATAAATATTTTTGAAGAACAGCTAAAGTCTTCATTAAAAAAGCATTATGCTCCTATGAGATTTCCCCATCCCCAAGATTAATATCACAGTGCGGAGACCTAAGTACTTTTTTATCTTACAATTGTGCATGAAGAATTATTTTGTGCAGTGCCATAGGTTAAATGCATATCATGAAATTCGCTTTCCTCCTGATTGCCATTTCTGTCACTTAATTCAATGAAAGCCCACGAAAATACAGTATGACTCAGAATACTGGAGCTGCGGCTAAGCAAGAAAAGTTCATTCAGAATTGATTTTCTTTCAGGAATCCTTGATATTCTTCATTCCAATTGTTCACCTCTACTGTAGGGCTCAGTAAACACTTAAGGAAGTTGCCGTGCACTGCAGCCTGCCGGAGACATGAAGGAATGTGCAGGAGGATAATCACAACATCATCAACCCAATTCTCCAAGGTAGCTGGCCAATAATGCTGTTCTAATTGAATAACTTATCCACAGCTATTTCCCCCGGGGAAGCCGAAGGCCCAGCCTCGGCAAAGAAGCAGATGGTGCTTGCATATACAATGAAACCTGTAGTTTTCTCTCGCCATTGGCCATGTTAACAGTGGGCTGTTTCTGCTTATTCCTCGACATTTTATTTTAATAGTCCCTTCCCAAATGATAATGTACCATGAAGCAGCCAAAGATGGATTCAGTGATACATATCATATTTAATTTATCATACCTCTAGCTCACTGAACAACTCACTTGGTAGTCAGCAGCAGTTATATGTCAGGGACAGGTGCAAGCTGAGAAGAAAGCAACAGAAAGGGACCCAATTAGAACCAAAAGGGGAGATGAGTCTTCAGGGTAGCATGGCATTCACGAGCAGCAACGTGTGCAATATCGAATGCCTTTTAATTCTCATTTTTTAAAAACCAGTAATTTGCCATAGGACAGGCACACCCAATGTATTTGGGAAGACAATGGGAAGGCTCTGTTTTCTGCTATAAGACTGATTCAACCAGTTGGATCTGGAAGGGGATAAAGGGCTGCTTGATTTTCATTGTCTAGTGGCAGGCAAAGTTGGAAAAGAGAGAAGTGCAGACTCTAAAGGCAAGCAGCGACAGCTCATCCGCGGTCTAACAACACGACAGATGACAGGCCCAGAGGCATACCCAGGGCCGCCAGCCCATCAGCCTGTGCAGGATGCCAGAGAGCAGCTGCAGCAATAGACAAAGATCATCCAGACTTGAAGGCTTGGGCCCTTGCTAAGACCATAGAGTCTTTGTGCTTTGGAAACAGCCCTCCATACAGAGACCCCTTCCTACAAAAGAGTGAAAAGAAACCAAGGTGGGATGGACACAAAGGAAGGAGACCATGCTAATATTCTTGTGCAGTGCATCCTATGTCAGAAAGGATGTTCTATTCTGCAAAGCCATGTCTCTCTGTGATTTGCCTCAGAGGAGGGACCTTTCCTAGCTGTAGTGAGTAAGGCGGCCCTTGCTGATGTTATCAGATATGCCAAGGCACAGAAAAAAAGCACTGGAGGTCACAGGGTGGCTCGGGTCTGCCTGTGGTAATTGAAAACAGGTGATGAGATTGGGGTGATTTTATTTTGGAAAAGTAAATTAGTGCTGCACCACTCTGACATGGCTAATTCATGAAGCCTCTGGTTTGTATTACACACCCAACATGCCTTTCAGAAAGAAATGACACAACAATTAATGTGTCAAATAATAATGTGCCACTCGGAGAAAGATAATTGTACCCAGCGTCAGGTAGTTATTAGGTCAGAACGAATGCTCATCCTTTCAAAGGCAACAGTGTCTATTCACTCTGGCATCCTACTGTAAGTACAGTACTGTGTTAATAATCACACAGGCTGAAGCCAGGAACTCTGGGTTTTATCTGATTTTTCTCCATTTGGAATTGTACTCTGATGATTCCCTAAACAGCAAACTCAGTCATGTGAAACACAAATGAGTGTGATGAAAGACAGATTGTTATACTGGAGGAGAGGCTGTCTCTGTCTGTGCTTTTCATATAATACAGAGCATGAGGACTGTTCCAAAGAAGGTTTGAACATATGTAACAAAAACTATCAGACCTGAGTTTGCTCATGTGTAAATGATAGTCTTCCCTTCTGGTGATTTAATGCATGAGGACATCAATCAGTCACATCATGGCCTCAGAAGTCCTTGTTCAATTTCTGGTGCCGTAACTTACTCGATGTGGGATTTGGACAAGTCATTTAACCTCACTATGATTCTGTTTCCTCATTTGAAAAATAGAAATAGAAGAGCGTGCTGTATATTTAGTTCCACATCTGTTGGGAGGTCGAAGAAGAAAGGACATAAAAAGATGTTTGTAAATAGAAAGAACCAATGTAAATATAAGACATTATTGTATTAATGCTCCAGATTAATGAATGTTCAGTGAATGATAAAATGTGATGTCTTTTGAACAGAGACAGCTTTACTAAGAAAAATGCCTAAGAAAAACTAGGCAATGGCTTCTGTCCTTACAAATGAAGAACTTCATAAGAAATGGAGGCTCTCAAAACCACCTGCCCAAGACTGAACTAAATACTCCATTCAACCAAGAATGAGGAACTGAAACACATGATTATTATATATGGGTATGCTTCTGTTTCATCTACTCAGGCACACTTGTGATGAAGATATAAAAATCAGCCATCTTCAGAAGGAGAAACACTGTATTTGGGGGTATGTCTTCTGTATAGACAATTGGCCTTGTTATTGTCAAAAGCTATTTAAAATAAATAAATAAAACACAATTTTATGCTATATAAAATATTCAAAGCATCGATGTTTCAATGTATAGCTTCCATACCTTGTTCTCCCATGAAGATGCAGTCTCAACTGATATCTTTCATGAAAGAAAAATTTACAGTGTGGTGTTTGACCTTGCATAGCTTATGACTGACATTCAAAGAGATCTTGTTAGGGAAAACAAATGAATATGTAACAAACAATTAAAGTAAGTAGTACTGAGACAGAGAAGAGTTGGTGACTTAGCCTGTTGAAAACAGACACTTCGTTAATTTGGATTAAAGAATGTAGGTATGACTGCTCTAATACCACTTGAATGTTGCCAAAAATCTCTTGTATTCTGCAAAAGAATACCTAAAAACAAACAGAACTGACAGGCAAATACAATTGGCAGTGTGAGCCCCACTTGAAATTTTTTGTAATTCTATCCTGAAAGCGATATTCCATTATTTCCATCTCTAGACACTTAATAGAAGTAAATCACTAAGTCCAGTCCACTCAAGGGGAGAGGGATTAAGAGAGAATTTGGGGGCTATCTTTGAAGCCACCTCAGGCAATCTCTTAAAGGTAAAGGAGTGTTTAAGGAAGAGAAGACAGCATAAATGGAGAGGCCCAAGAGTCAGTTCTTAGGATCATTTGATAATGGCAGCCACAGAGTGAGGCAGTGGCAATAATAATGAACAATCCAGCATAAGCCTTGTCCTCTCTTCCAGGAGGACAGAGGGAGGTATTGGCAGTGGTCTTAGGTTTTAAGTGTGAATATAAGTAATTCAAAACGTAAGCTGTTGGAATGCTACATTATTTTGAGCTTTAAAGGAACGTGATTATGAGGCCTGAGTTACATGCCAGGCAGCTGCAACCTAAGCAGCAGCTGTAATCTGTGCTCCTCTGATTATAGATTAGCTTTCTTCCTTACCTACGTTGTTTTGTAAAATGCTATAAATGACTAAAGGGCACCAGGGAAGACTCCTTCCCTCTTCACCGTTGATCTTCATTATAGATGAACTTCCCTCTTACCTTTCTCACACAAAGACCTCATGGCTTTCACACTATGTTAAGATGGCATTACTGGGTATATATCCAAAAGACTATAAATCGTTCTACTATAAGGACACATGTACACGAATGTTCATTGCAGCACTGTTTACAATAGCAAAGACCTGGAATCAACCCAAATGCCCATTGATAATAGACTGGATTGGAAAAATGTGGCACATATACACCATGGAATATTATGCAGCAATCAGAAATGATGAGTTCGTGTCGTTTGTAGGGACATGGATGAATCTGGAAAACATCATCCTCAGCAAACTGACACAAGAACAGAAAATGAAACACCGCATATTCTCACTCATAGGTGGGTGATGAAAAATGAGAACACATGGACACAGAAAGGGGAGTACTAAACACTGGGGTCTATTGGGGGGAAAAGGGGAGGGCCAGTGGGAGGGGGAGGTAGGGAGGGATAGCCTGGGGAGAAATGCCAAATGTGGGTGAAGGGGAGAAGAAAAGCAAAGCACACTGCCATGTGTGTACCTACGCAACTGTCTTTCATGCTCTGCTCATGTACCCCAAAACCTATAATCCAATAAAAAATTAAAAAAAAAAAAAAAAAAAATTTCATCTGTGACCCTACCAAATGACCTTTGAAAACAAAAGCAGAACCAGAAAGCCGGCCTCGGGCCAGCTTTCACATTGTTAAAAAAAAAAAAAAAAAAAAAAAAAGATGGAATGTTAAGTACACTTCATTGTAGAAAGAACATGAAAGCAAACCCTATGGAAAAGAAAACAAACTAATTAAATTGTTGTAACTCATAAACCAGACTTGTAGATAAAATGTTATAACCTTACTAAACATCTTTGTTTTTTGCCTGTATAAGCAAGAACTTAGCTTTTGTCTTTGGGGCACTGACCTCACGTATCTGGAGTCTGTGTCTCCTGGATGCCAGTCCCCAGGTTTTCACTCAGATAAACTATTTAAAACTGGATTCTGATCCTTTGGATTATTCCAGGTTGACAGAAGCAACTTGGGAAGAGGGGGGCAGGTCAGAGTCTCTTGAATTGTTGGGTAATTCCTGGTATAATTCTCAGGCATAAGCCAGCTGCTCTTTTGTGGAGTTAATCACTAGAAAATGATCATTTTATTAAATATATGTACCATTTAAAAATAGCAAATAATGATACGAAGGATGATTTTCTTAGACCTGATCATCTCTTTCTGGCTTTGTGGTACTTCTGCTTGCCATGAAAAACTGTGCCAGCGTTATCCACTCTTTTGAGGTCCCTACCTCAGGTCTTGCTCCCAATAATCATCCTCTATTCCCCGAGGTTTTCACATTTCCTCCTACTGCTGAGGAGATTGTTGTCATATTCTGGTTTCCTGTTTCAACTCCACTGATTTTTATTTCCTCCACAGTGCCTTTACACATGTTCACAGGACCATGGCCATATATATTGTCCATGAATGAGGCCTGGGATAATACCAATTCCAGCGCCCTACTCTAGACAATTAATTCAGAATCTCTGGTTATTCTAATGCGCAGCCAGGACTGAGAAACCTTAATTTCCAAAATCTCAATTGTAAGCATCCTATCTACTAGCCATTAGTTTCTACTCATTCTCATTCAAACACCCACCCCCTATTTCACTTACTTTTAAACCTTATAATGACCTCTAGTCTGTTGACACTTTGACAATTCATCTCTCTTCGCTTGTCCTCACATTTTATGTCCCACACTATAGTTCGACACTACGTAGCCACTTCTATTCAGGGTTCATAATATCCTGGTCATTCTATTTATTATGCATGCCTCACAAAATTTCAACTTTGGTTAAATTAACTACCCACTTAGTTCATGTTGGCATTCAAGCAGCAGAATATTACCAAGGAAAATCACACAAGTAGGTAGAATGGTCTTATTTCAAATTACTATCAAAAGTGCATATGGACCCTTGACATTGAGACACAGTCTCTCTACTATAACTTTCCTGATTCTTCTAGATGACTGTGATACACCACCTCCATAGTGGGTTGAATGGTGTCCTCCAAAATACGGCCAAGTCCTAACTCCCAGTACCTGCGAATTTGACCTTTTGGGAAAATAGGGTCTTCTTGCAGGTATAGTTAAGGATCTCAGAATGAAATGATCCTAGATTTAGTGGGTGCGCTATATACAGTGACAGGTGACCTTATAAGAGATAGGAAAGAGGCCCAGGGAAGAATGCCATGTGAAGACGTCGCCACAAACCAAGGGATGCCAGGAGCTACCAAAGACTGGGAGAGACAAGAGATGATTCTCCCCTGAGAGTCTTCAGAGAGAGCATGGCCCTATCAACACCTTGATTTTGGATTTCTGGCTTCTAGAACTGTCACAGAATAAATTTACATTGCTTTTAGCCTCCCAACCTGTGGTGATTTGCTATGGTGGTAGGAAACATACAACCTTTCATCTCAAAACTCTAATCCCTTTTCTTTCTCTCACTCTCCACCTTTGCCCCCACTCCCTGGATGAGTTGTATTTTAATAAAATAGATGCAATCACATGAAAACAATCTCTTGTTCTCCCCACCCCATATTCCCACCTGCATTTGCACACACCATCTGCCTTTTCTTGCCTTGGGGTTCCTCTTCTATCAAAGGACCCCTGTCCAATAATATTTTTTATTCAACTATTATTGGGTGCAAAAGTAATTACAGTTTTTGCCATTGAAAGTAATGACAAAACCACAATCACTTTTGCACCAACCTAATATTCCCAATTACCCCTTCTCCCTCCTGTACTGTCATCAGTTGTCCTCAAAATCATTTCTATTGGCTTAAAAACATGCCTTGAAGTGTATGTGTGTGTGCGTGTTTGTATATGTACATGCTTTTGACCTTGACTTCATACCCCTTCCCAAATATTGTTTATTTTTCTGCTCCCCTGACAGTTACATTCCTCAAAAGAACTGCTCATAGTTACTGTTTCTACTTTCTCACTTCCCTTTTCTGCCCAATATACCTCGATCAAGTTTTTCTTTCTACCACTTCACTGAAAGACCTCCTGTAATGATCTCTAATGTCTTGCATTTTGCTAAACCCAATGGCTAATTCTGTTTTCATTTTACTCAAACCTGCAGCAGTTAACAAAATTCACCACTCCCTCCTGCCAATTCCTGCATCAGGCATTTGTCAGTCTTAACTGTTATTATTGCCATGACAAGGTGAAATAATTGGGGAATGACATTTTTGAGGGGCTAGTGATTCTGACTCTTGTCTTTGTGTGTGTCTATTTAAAGCTTGATAGAGGGTTTGGGATTGATTATTTTGTTTTGCTTTTATTACAGTCATGTTCACGGACCAAATGTTCTAGGAACCAAAGAACAATTAGATACGGCCTGCAAAGTCACAGTCTAGGACCAAAATAATTTAAGCAAAAACAGAATCTCTATTAGCAGGTGTTCACTAATAAGACATAAACATAAATTAAGATTGCTAAATACTGTAAATAAACAAATTTTCTCTACTTTTCACATCTGTTATGCTTGTTTTTGTGTTTTAGCGGCAGATAAAGAATGTAGAGGGATTCCATGCCAGTTCCCAGAGTAAGATCTTAAGCTGGGAACACATAGCTTAGTATCCAAAGTAGGGCTGCCCTACAGATCATTTTATGATGCCAGATGTGAGAGGAGAGAATCTTGTTTAACATGAATGTTTCCAAGTATTGTCCTGAATATGACAAATGAAGACTGGTGGGAATCCAGATTAGTACTCAGAGGGAGCAGGAGTAGAAGTGCTGCGTGAAGCTGATTTGTGTCTTTGCTCATGAATATGCACGCTCCCCAGGGAGAGTTGGAAAAGGCTAAAGCAAACAATCAAGAAAGAAAGAGAGAGCGAGAGAGAGAACACAACAGCCACTGGCCACCAAGAGACAAAGAAATTGGTGTTTACATATCCCTGTTCTTTTTCCTTCCTGGACGGATAATGTTAGCTGTATTTTCCCCATGGGACTAATGGGATTCTCCAAGTGACCACCGTGGAGGCT